GCTAGATCCTTTCAGTTTGGGTTTTGGCTCTTTTTCCAAAAGAACTCCCCCTAGGGGCTTTCGGCCAATCCCGCCAGCCACCAGGAAGAGGTGGTTCCCGTCGGCTGTTCGCTTAAGATGACGTCAAGATGACCTCCGAGATGCCCCCAAGGCGGCCAAAATGGCCTCTAAGACGGCTAACATAGTCCCAAGATGCCTCTCAGACGGCCCAAGATGCACCCAAGACGGCCTAGGATAGCCTCAATATGGCCCCAGACGCCCCAAGAGGCCCCTCAGAGGCCTCGAAGACGGCCCAAGAGTTCTCCAAAAGGTCCTCCAAGAAGCCCGAAGAGGCCAAAATCATTGATTTCTTTTGGTGTAGGATTTTGGCATTTGTGCCTTTTCGGCCGTCTGACGGCCCAAGACGGCCCAAGAGGCCCCAAAAATCGCCCCAAGATCGCCCAAAAGGCCTCTAAGATGGCCCCATGACGGCCCAAGAGCCCCCCAAGACGCCCCCAAGAGGGCCTCAAGACGGCACAAGAGGCCTCCAAGACGCCAAAGATGATCTCCAAGACGGCCCTGAAGCGCCCCAAGAGGGCCCCAAGACGGCCCAGAGAGGCCCCCAAGACGGCTTCCGACAACGTCAGACGGGCCAGGAACGCCCTAAGACAGCCAAAGAGGCCCTGAATAAGCCCCCAAGAAGCCCTCAAAGACCCCCAGCAGGCCCAAGGAGGCCCCAAAGAGGCTTCCAAGAGGCCCCCAGGAAGCTCCCAGCAGGCCCCAAGAGTGCCCCAAGAGGCTCCAAAGAAGGCTCCTCCTCCTACTCTTCCTCTTCCTCTTCCTCTTCCTCTTCATGTTCATTATCCCCCACGTGTTCCCCGAAAACTTTCCAAACCGACCCGGGAAACGCATGGTCCGACAGCTTGGCCAAGCTCTAGCCCAACTCTCGGCCACATAGGCGTTTCCAAAAATGCAGGGGGGCGGCGGTGATTCGCCGTAGGCGTCTTCGATAACATCGTCCAAACTCTTTGGAATATATCGGCCTCCAAGACATGATCGCCTCGGACCTCGCTCACTGAACGTGCTGCGCGATGCCCCCTGGTCTCCCAACGTGTCAGGTTCAGTTCAGACGAAGGGTGGTCTGCAGGACACTGCGAGAACGGACCTCGAAGCAATGACATCCCACCTCACCTCCTCCTCCTCCTCCTCCTCCTCCTCCTCCTCCTCCTCCTCCTCCTCCCCCTCCCCCTCATCATCATCATCATCATCATCATCATCATCATCCTCATCAGCATCATCATCAGCATCATCATCATCATCATCATCATCATCATCATCATCATCATCATCATCATCATCATCATCATCGTCATCATCCTCATCCTCATCCTCATCCTCATCCTCCTTCCCTCCCGCTCCTTCCACCCCTCCGGCCCTCCTCCTTCCCCGTTCCCAGCAATCTGGGAGTCTGATCACAAGACGGCGCCGTTCTCTCAGGCAGGCAACGTTTGCGCTCTGGCAGCACTGCGTCCGCCCGACGAACAACACTGTCGGGCACCGCGGTTGCATGATATGCTGGCCTAAACTGCTAATCTATTGGAAAGCATTGCCAAGCCTCTGAACACCAAGGTGTGGGAGTAGAATGATGATGGGAAGGAGGAAGATCATTTGTCATCCCTGTGACAACTGTGCTTCCGAAGACCGACGACGCTAAAGCCGCAGGACCTTCCGAACACTGCGCGCTAGTCGGAACGCTGATGCAAAATGTGCAGGTACCTCCCATCACATAATTAAGAGCATTCTACCTGAAGCTACTGCCTGTATCGCTGTCGGCAATTCTGGGAACCTCTGGGCCAGCAGGAGGGCGAGGAGGGGAATGGGATCTCGGAGAGGGAGGGGAGTCAAACTGGTGCCGAGCGCAGAAACTCAGCGGGGGACGAAGACGCTGGCGGAGGGCATCACACTGGACGCCGTGCCAGCGCAGCGTTCTGGCGAAATGCCGGCCTGAGGTGGCTAAACTCAGGGCTTATGCCTACGCGCTAAACAAATAGCGGCCCAGGTCGGCCCCAGGTCGGCAATCTGGGAGTCTGGTCATTCTTCAAGACAGCGCTGTTCTCTCACCGAACCCCTCCCCCCGGGGCCCGGTCTGATCAGTTTGGGAGGGGGGGGGCTGGCCCGAACGCGACACGGCTCCAGACCGCCCCAAGATGGCCCCCAGAGGCCCCCAAGACGGCCCAAGAGGTCCCCAAGACGGTCCAAGAGTGCTCCGAATCGCTGACAGATCGCTCCAAGACGCCCAACATGGCCCCCAGATGGCCCAAAGGGCCTCCAATACGCCCCAAGAGGCCTCCAAGAGGCCTGCCAGGAGGGCCCCAAGAGGCAAAAATCATAGCATTTCCATTCATGTTTGAAGGTTCTGGGGGGTCTCGCGTCTTCGGATTCCAGACGCTCCAAGACGGCCCGAGAGGTCCCCAAGATCGTCCCAAGACGGCCCGAGAGGCCCCCAAGACGGCCCCCAAACGTCCTAAGAGGGCCCCTAGACGGCTCAAGAGGCCTCCAAGACGGCCCCAGAGGCCCCCAAGACGGCTCCAAGAGGGGGCCCAGACAGGGGACCCGCGCAAAAATTTCAAGCCCTCGGCCCCAAGAGACCCCCAGGAGGCCCCAAGAGGCCCCCAAAAGGCCCAAAACAGACCCCCGAACGGCCCCCAGGAGGCCCAAAAGTGCTGCCGACAAAAAAACGAGAGACCTACCAGGAGACCCCCAAGGGGTCGGCGGTGCAGCGTAAGCCCAAGAATAATCATTAATTTCCTTTGGGTATTCAACGATTTGGGGCCCTCAAAGGCTTCCTGGGTTCTTTCTGGAGAGGGGGGGGTCTAAATTGTGGTCGGTTGTGCATGAGTAGACTGGGGGCCAAAAATCTGGAAAGGAGGAACAAAAAAATTTTGGATTTCCATTTTTGTTCCAGTTCCTCGGCGTTGTTCGGCGCTGTTTTTCCCAACCATCCTGTGGTGTTGGGTCCTCGTTTTGTAGGGACGGTCCCCGCGTTCCTCTTCTCCTCCCCTTCCCCCTCCTCCTCTCCACCGCCCGCACGCGTCCCCCACACACAACTTGGCGCACCCCTCACACGCTTCCCAGTGCCACCGCCCGCATGCGCCCCCCACACCCAATTTGGCACACCCCTCACACGTTTCGTGGCCCCATAGGGAGCTCCACCGAAGCCCCCAGTGCATATTCCGGGGAGATGTGGGACCCAGGGTCGGGGGGGCGGCATTTATATATAATTTACATAGACGTATACATATACATATACACATAAATAAGCATCTCCATATCCATAAACATATACATATACATATGCATTTACATATGCATATACACATACATATACATATACATATACATATACATATACATATACATATATATATATACATATACATATACATATGCATGTACATATACATATACATATACATATACATATACATATACATATACATATACATATACATATACGTATACGTATACATATACATATACATATACATATACATATGTATATGTATATACATATACACATACATATACATATATAAATGTACCTAAACATATACATATGCAAACACATATACATAGACATAGACATATACATAGACATATACATATACGTATACATATACATATATATGCATCTTCATGCACATAAACATATACATATACATAATGTAAGTGTACATATACATGTGCATATACATATACATATATATATGCATATACATATACATGTACACATACAAATACATTTACATATATATATATATATATATACAGATATATATATATATATATATATACATATACATACAAATAAACATACCTACATACACATATGGTATACATATACATATACATATACACATACACACACATATATATATCGGGAGAGAGAGAGAGAGAGACAAAGAGAGAGAGTGCGAGAGAGAGAGAGATGTTGTACCTCTTAAGGATTTCGTCCTCTGCCGCCGGCCCCCCTGTTACTGGTGCGGGCGACTGCACGGGGGTCTCCTTGGGGCCTCTTGGGGGCCTTTTCGGGGTCTCCTTGGGTCCTCTTGGGGGTCTCCTTGGGGCCTACGGGAACAACATGTTGAGTCTCTTGGGGGTTTCCTTTGGGCCTCTTTTTTTCTTGCTTTCCTTTTTTAGTCTCTCCTAAACACTCCAGTAGGGGACTAACTCAACGGGGGCCTCCCGGAGCTTCGGCTCTCCAAAACGTCCCCTCCAGGATGGAGGTGGCATTGGCAGGAAGACCGCTCGCAAGAGCCTTCATCAGGCCAGGGCCTGTGAAGTTGTCGTTAACACCGAAGTCGAGCTCGATGCGTGTCACACACGCAAGCAATCCCCTCATCAAGACAGCTGGTAGGCCCTCCGCAAGAGCCTTCAACCCATCGTCGGTGAAATTCCCATTGTTGCTCAAGACCACATGAACATCACGGGTCGCCCTGAGCGACCGCAAGCCCCACGCAAGCTCTTCTAGCCCACTGTCTGTAAACTCTCGTTCCCTGTGAAATTCAAACAAATGAAGTTCACATCGGCCGGCAGACCTTGCACAAGAGCGTTCAGGCCATCGTTCGTGAATTCGTCCTGGGAGTGAAAATTGAAATCGATGCTGGCGGCGGTGTTTGGCAGGCGATCCGCCAAATCAACGAGCGCCTGGTCCTGGAGAAGCTCATGGCGATCACGGCTTCGAGAGACCACGTGGACGCAACGCCCACGGTAGCAAAGTACTAGCTGAGCAATCTCAGCGAGTCTCGAGGATGGGGTGTGCATGTCGTCTACGGGCCTCCGTACTCCTTGGATGTCGTCTACGGGCCTCCGTACTCTGTGTGAGGTCTTAGACAATGCGCGAATGCTGTCGTGAAATTAGGAGGCGCATCTTGCCACCTGCCCAACCGAGCTGATCGAGATCGCCGACAGTGAATCCGCCGAACCCGCACCAGAACCACTCGTCGTTTCCGAAATCACCACTAGCGGTGAATTTGAGACGGGACATCCTCTATGAGACGGTTACACTGACAATAGAACTGCATGGTTTCCAGCGCCTTGCTGTTGGACGCAGAGGAGGCAATCTGCTTGAAATTGTCGGCTGCAAGTTCGCCCTCTGGCTCGTAGTCGACGTCGGCCTGCAACTTGGGGATGTGACAAAGCGGAGCTGTCCTGCCGAGGCCAACTAGAAGTTGTTCCACTAAAGCACGCCAGAAACCAATATCCTGCTCCTTCGCCATCGTGCGGATGTCAAGGACCGTCAATGTCATCGATGCGAAAGAAGTGACAATAGAGAAGAGCAGGGTCCCGAAACCCATGATGCTGAAATCCACGTGCGTGCTGTCGTCGGAACAAAAACCAACTGACTTAACAAATGCGCATCCGTAGAAGAGCTTGTGCTGGCGACTCAACCAGCGTCTCGATGACCACGCGAAGCCGCAGCGACTTGAGCAGCCAAGACTGGCGCGGCTGCCAACAAGGATCACGCACAAGGCAAACCAGATCCAAGACCATGCATACTGGGAGCCCGAAGACTAACCATAACGACCTGAATGGCGATGCCCAACATAGCCCGCAGTAGACAAGTACTCCAATCGTTGCTGCTATACCCAAGAGGAGGGGGTCGCAAACGGCACAAGGAAAAGTATGTATAATCCCTCCTAGAGCGCAACTTGTGCAGAAGAACATGGGGGCGAAAATATCACAAGTATGCCGACATTCGATCGCAATGGTAATACCCCTGCAATGCGACCAACGGTCGTCACGATCCATAACGGGGACGATGGGGGCCATGCAAATCCAAAGGATCACGAATGGCAATATCATAAAGAAGGCTGGCCCCACCAGGGATTGGAGCTGTCTCTATGGAGGCCGTGCGGGCCAAAGGTTACCAACGCATCCGAGCCGATATCTTATATGGGAAGCCACCGCTGTAAGAAGAATATGCCGACAGCAGAGACCTTGAACTGGCTGAATTTATATTGCATGCGCTGAAACTTCGCAGGCCAAGGCTCCTGAGGACCTCCGTCATCAGACGACCCCGAGACGGTGACTGGTCGTGCGCGTTCGTCATCAAGCAGTGCCTGCTCGTCGAAACCTGCCATTGCGTGTTATTTGAACCTACCAACTGCCCAGCCTCGAATCACCTTGAGCCCAAATGGCTTGAGCTAAAATGGCTACGGAGGGGTTTCCTTGGGGCCTCTTGGGGCCCTCTTGGGGGCCTCTTCGGGCCTCTTGGGACCTTCTTGGGGCCTCCTGGGGCCCTCTCAGGGCGGAAAGGTGGAGTTTTCGGTTCGTGGACTCTTGGGCCTCTCTTGGGACCATCTCAGATCCCTTTTAGGCCGTCTGGGGCGCCTCTTGGACCGTCTTGGGGCCCTCTTCGGCCGTCTTGGGGCCGTCTTGGAGGCCTCTTGGGCCGTCATGGGGGCTTCTAAGGCCGTCGTGGGGCGACCTTGGGAACCTCTTAGTCCGTCTCGGCGCGTCGGAAAGCCGAAAATGCGAGAAGGCCAAAAACCTTCAAAAACGCAAGGAAAATCGTTGATGCTTGCTTCGTGGGACCCTCTTGGGAGGCCTCTTGGATGCCTCTTGGGGGCCGTCTTGGGAGCATCTTGGGCCGTCTTGGGGCCATCGTGGGACATCTTGGGGCCATCTTGGGGCGCCTTGGCCTCCTGAGGCTCTCTTCGGAGCATCTTCGGGCAATCTAGGAGGCCTCTAGGACCGTTCTGGCCGCGCGGTGGCGTCACCATGAGAATCCCAAGGTGGCCCGGAGCAGCCTGTATTTGAGCTTCATCCCCCCCCCCGTTGGCTGTTTGGTGGCGCGGCGGGGCCCCTCATCAGACAGTTAACAGCAGGCAGGAAACAGGACTGGAGAGACAAAAGGCCAAACAACAAATGACGACACAAAACGCATGACAGCAGACCGCACGCACCTTCGCAGCCTCGCGCCCCCGGAGGGGGCCGGCGGATATACATCCCTATACGATGCTGCAGCGAGGCTGGAGGCCCAGCGAGCGGGCCGATCTCGCCCCCTTTCCGCCGCTCTTGCAATTACAGCTTCTGGCAAAGTAGTCGGGCGTTTGAGAAGGCGATTCACCACCGTGCACTTCATTGATGAACTTGTGACCTCTCAGGGAACCTTGGGAAATAAATATCTACCTGTGCGACCACCCTTCGGGTGATAAGGAGGTTGTGGGGGGGGAGAGGGGGAGAAACCAACATCTGACCCAATCGATCTCACTATCGATCTCACTCAACGGGACACCACGGGACACCACGGGACACCACGGGACACTTGTCGATCTCACTATCGATCTCACTATCGATCTCACTCAACGGGACACCACGGGACACCACGGGACACCACGGGACACCTCTCGATCTCACTATCGGTCTCACTTTCGATCTCACTATCGATCTCACTCAACGGGACACCACGGGACACCACGGGACACCACGGGACACTTGTCGATCTCACTATCGATCTCACTATCGATCTCACTCAACGGGACACCACGGTACACCTTGGGACACCACGGGACAAATGTCGATCTCACTATCGATCTCACTATCGATCTCACTTTTTGGGACACCACGGGACACCTTGGGGCACCACATCGATCTCACTATCGATCTCATTATCGAACTCACTATCGATCTCACTATCGATCTCACTCAAAGGGACACCGCGGGGCACCGGCCGCCGGAGGAATTACAGTTGGTCCGGCCGCGGCCCAGCCACAGGAGGATTTCGAGACACCAGAGGGACACCGGCGGGACACCGCGGGGCACCGGCCGACGGAGGACTTACATTTGGTCAGGCCGCGGCCCAGCCACAGGAAGATTTCCTCTCGCCCGCCCACGCAGCTTCGCCTCGCCCGCACGCACGCACGGCACGCACGACACGAACCCGAAACCGAAATCGATTTCCCCGTAGGGGGGGTCTCCGTTTCACGTCGGACTCACCCCCCAACCTCCGAGATATAGATGTGTATATATATATATATATACGTCGAGATAGAAGTATGTATACAGATACTGAGATTGATTCGCCATATGTTAAGACTCCCCCTTGAGCTTCGGCACAGCCCGCCGGCCACCCGGAAGGCGCTTTCAAAGCGGCACAATCCGCAGAAAAGCTGGTCCTATCATCCCAAGACGGGCAAGATGGCGTCCAAGATCACCTCCCAGATCGCCCAAGATGGTCCAAGATGGTCCAAGATGGCCTCCAAGGCGGCCCAAGAGGGTCCAAGATGTCTGCACGTCCGCCCAAGAAGCCACCAAGGCAGCCCAAGATGGCTCCAAGATGGCCCAAGACGGCCCCGGAGGCCTCCAAGAGGCCTCCAAGACAGCCCCAGAGGCCTCCAAGGTCCTCCGGGAAAGCTCGAAGAGGCCAAAATCTGTGGTTTCCCGTCGGTGTGTGAAGGAGTTTGGCATTTGCTTCTTTTCGGCCTTCCGATGGCCCAAGACGGCCCCAGAGGCCCCCAAGATCGCCCTCAGAGCGCCGCAGAGGCCTCCAAAATGGTCCCATGACGGTCCAAGAGGGTCCCAAGACGGCCCCCGAACGGCCCCAAGACGGCCCAAGAGGCCTCCAAGACGTCCAAGATGGCCTCCAGGACGGCTCTTAGCGCCCCAAGAGGGCCCCAAGACGGTCCAGAAAAGCCCCCAAGGCGGCTTCCGACGGCGACAGACGGGTCAGGAATGCTGAAGCGGCCCGAGGAGGCCCCCAAGGCCCAAGAGGCCTCCAACATGCCCCCGGGAAGCTCCCAGTAGGCCCCAGGAATGACGCAAGAAGCTCCCAAGAGATCTCCTCCTCCTCTTCCTCCTCCTCCTCCTCCTCCTCCTCCTCCTCCTCCTCCTCCTCCTCCTCCTCCTCCTCCTCCTCCTCCTCCTCCTCCGCCGCCGCCGCCGCCGCCGCCGCCGCCGCCGCCGCCTCTGCCTCCGCCTCCGCCTCCGCCTCCGCCAACGCCAACGCCTCTTCTTCCTCCTCCCCCATCCTCCTCCTCCTCCTCCTCCACCTCCTCCTCCTCCTCCTCCCTCCTCCTCCTCCTCCTCCTCCTCCTCCTCCTCCTCTCCTCCTCCTCCCTCCTCCTCCTCCTCCTCCTCCTCTCCTCCTCCTCCTCCTCCTCATCATCATCCTCTTCCTCCTCCTCTTTTTCCTCCCTCTCCTCATTCTCCTCCTCATCGCCCACGTGTTCACCGAAAGGTTTCCACAGCGGCTCGGGGAACATGTGGTCCGATAGGTTGCCAAGCTCTGGACTCTGGACCCAAACGTTTGGCCACAGAGGCGCGCTTCATAAAGACAGGTGCGCACGGCGTGCCAGCCTTTTGGGGTCTCCCGCTCTCCATCTGCTGTTCCAATTTAGCACGTCGTGCTTGCCCAATTGTTGGATAACGGCCCCCTCCTCCTCCTCCTCCTCCGTCTCCTCCTCCTCCTCCTCCTCCTCCTCCTCCTCCTCCTCCTCCTCCCTCCTCCTCCTCCTCCTCCTCCTCCTCCTCCCCCTCCGGGCCCCTACTCCAGGCTCCCATGCCTGTCCTTCATGGCGTCCCACTGAGGCTTCGGTCCAGCCCGCCGGCCATCTGGAAAGCTTGCCTGGGTATGTTGGCCCAAGACGGCCCCAAGGTAGCCTCCAAGACGGCCAAGATAACCCGAGACGGTCTTAAGTTTGCCCAAGATGGTCCAAGATGGCCTCCAAGACGGCCTAAGAGGGTCCAAGATGCTTCCAAGTCCGCCCAATAAGAAACCAAGACGGCCCAAGATGGCTCCAACACGGCCAAGACGGCCGCAAAGGCAACCAAGACGGCCCAAGAGGTCTCCAAGAGGACCTCCAGGAAGGCCCGAAGTTGCCAAAATCATGAATTGACCGTAGGTTGTTGCAGGATTTTAGTTGTTGCTCATGTCGGATGTCCGATGGCCCAAGACGGCCCCAAAGCCACCAAGATGGCCCCAAGAGCGCCTAAGAGGCCTCGGAGATGGCCCCCAGACGACTCTTGAGCGCCCCAAGAGGGCCCCAAGACGGTTCAGAAAAGATCCCAAGGCAGCTTCGACGGCGACAGACGGGCCAGGAATGCTGAAAGACAATCAGAGAGGCCCCCAAGAAGCCCCTAAAGGCCCTCAAGCGGCCCGAGGAGGCCCCCAAGGCACAAGAGACCTCCAAGAGGACCCACGAAGCTCCCAGTAGGCCCCAGGAATGATGCAAAAAGTTCCCAAGAGTTATCCTCCTCCTCCTTCTCCTCCTCCTCCTCCTCCTCCTCCTCCTCCTCCTCCTCCTTCTCCGCCTCCTCCTCATTTTTCCATACTCGTCCTCATCCTCGTCCTCCCCCAAGTGTTCCCTCTGACGTCAAAGCAGGGCCTCTGATGCGAGGGTGGTGCAAGGGTCAGCCTGTGAGCGCTGGCATCAAGAGTGAGTTGAGCAGAACTCGTGGGGGGGAAACACCCCCACTACAAGGCCTTGACCAAGGACCTGGTTATCGGCCCCCCTCGACATTGAAGCAGGCCCCAAAGCAGCCAAGATCTACTCCTTCGGGGGGGGGGGTGCGAGGGCCCACGCCGATCGGCAAAACAGTGAATAAGAAAACGAGCACCAAGCGCAGCGCGCGGTCACAGCCGTCGCGCTAGCAAAAGAAATGCTGGATGATGACCGGAGCCTACCCGGATCCGCCGAACCTCGGCCACCAAGAGACTCCCCCGCCCAGATCTCCGGGGAGCGGCCCCCGCAGAACGGAGCCCCATCCTCAGCCTCCGGTGGTGCTGACTTCGGCATCTTGGCTGCAGCCTCGTGCCCGTACGCGCGATCCCCCCCTGAGCATTTTCTTCGGGTGGAGGGCTCAGGGCGGCGAAATCCACATGGGCTTTCTGCACCTCGAAAAAATCAATCCGCCTTGTTAGTCACCTGTTCCAGATTCGGGCCTCGGGAATCCATTGCCGCGGCACTTCAGACGTCACCCTTCGCCCTCCACCCGAAAAAAAAATGCTCGGCCTCCTCGCTGTGCGGCCAGGGTCCTCCTCTCAGCGCGCATGTGATCTCGGGCCACGCGACTGGCCATCGCTCGGACGTCCATTCCCTGTGCTTTTTTCGGTTTCGTGCGTGATATTTTCGCTGAATAATCAAGGATGCTCCTCGATGGTCCTCGCCAAAAGAGAAGTGCACACGTCCGAGCGATGCCAGGTACTCTCAGCGCGCACATGATCTCGGGGCCACGCGAGGCCGCAGCCCGCCGACACACGCCAGGCAGCGCAGGGGGGGGCGCCCGCTCTCCGAGCGGTGGTCGGGCGCCGCAGCCCTCCGATACGCACGCCGAAAGAGCATCAGGCCGCGCAGGACGCACGCCGAGTGCGGAGCACTCAGCGTGCTCCGCACTCGGCGTGCCCACTCGGCGAGACCTCGCTGAGCCCTCGCCCACTCCTGGCGTGCCGTTGGGCCCGCGCCTCGTCGAGACATCGCCGAACTCTCGCCCACTCTTGGCGTGCCGTGGAACCTGCGCCTCGTCGAGACCTCGCCAGGCTCTAGGGGGCCACGTGCGAACCCTCCCCCTCAAAAATCGTGGGGGGTAGGGGTAGGGTTCGCATGTGGCCCCCTAGAGCTCTCGCCCACTCTCGGCGCGCCGTTGGGCCTGCGCCTCGCCGAGACCTCGTGCTGGGCGGCGACCGCGGCGGCAGCTGCGGCCAGCCGGGGCGGCACGGCGGCACCGTGCGCCGAGCGGCGGCCTGGGCGGGGGCTCGTGCTTGGCCGCCAGCGCGTTGCGGGTCTGCTGCTCGCGGAGGATCTGCATGTCGGCCTGGCGCCCATCTCCCGCTGCTCCTCACGCTGCTCGTCTGCTCGTGCTGCTCATCGTCTGCCTCCATCTCCTCTCCCGTCCCCCCTGGCCCTCGCTCTGCCGTCCTCACGGAAGCACCTCCTGATCTTACCACTCGCCATGCCCTGTCACGCATCCCCCTCCTCGCACCTCCCTCCTCCCTCCTCCTCCTCCTCCTCCTCCTCCTCCTCCTCCTCTCCTCCTCTCCTCCTCCCACACCTCCTCCTCCTCCTCCTCCTCCTCCTCCTCCTCCTCCTCCTCCTCCTCCTCCACCTCCTCCTCCTCCTCCTCCTCCTCCTCCTCCTCCTCCTCCTCCTCCTCATCCTCCTCCTCCTCCTCACCTCCTCCTCCTCCTCCTCCTCCTCCTCCTCCTCATCCTCCTCCTCCTCCTCCTCCTCCTCCTCCTCCTCCTCCTCCTCCTCCTCCTCCACCTCCTCCTCCTCCCTCCTCTCCTCCTCCTCCTCCTCCTCCTCCTCCTCCTCCTCCTCCTCAGCATCATCATCATCTTCATATTATTATTCTGCAGCATCATCGTCACCATCATCATCATCCTCATCATCATCATCATCATCATCAGCAGCAGCAGCATCATGATCAGAATCATCATCATCATCATCATCATCATCATCATCAGCAGCAGCAGCAGCAGCAGCAGCATCCTCATCCTCATCCTCGTCCTCGTCCTCGTCATCGTCCTCATCCTCATCCTCATCCTCATCCTCATCCTCATCATCCTCATCCTCATCCTCATCATCATCATCATCATCATCATCATCATCATCATCATCATCATCATCATCATCATCATCATCATCATCATCATCATCATCATCATCATCATCATCATCATCATCATCATCATCATCATCATCATCATCATCATCATCGTCATCGTCATCGTCATCATCATCATATTCATCGTCATCATCAGCATCATCATCCTCATCCTCATCCTCATCATCATCATCCTCATCATCCTCAGCACCATCATCATCTGCAGCAGTAGCGTATCGTCATCATCCTCATCATCAGCATCATCATAATCATCAGCAGCATCATCATCGTCATCATCAGCATCAGAATCATCAGCATCATAATCATCAGCCTCATCATCAGCAGCAGCATCATCAATCATCATCAGCAGCATCCCGCCAAGCTGTCCAAGGCCCTCTCCCGCAGTTCGCTGGCCATCTCCACGGAAAAATGCCCTGTGGAGTGGCAGCGCCAGTCCGAGCCTGAAGTCAGACGACTTCCCCGTCCTCCTCCTCTGCCTCCTCCTCCTCCCCCCCTCCTCCTCCTCCTCCTTCTCCTCCCCTCCCTTCTCCTCCTCCTCCTCCTCCTCTTCCTCCGCCTCCTCCTCCGCCTCCTCCTCCTGCTCCCATCTCTCTGTTCCTGCCTCCTTCTCCTCCTCCTCCTCCTCCTCATCATCATCCTCCTTCTCCTCCTCCTCCTCCTCCCTCCCCCTCCTGTCCCTCTCCTCTCCCTCCTTCTCTTCCCCATCCAGTCACCCTGCCACCCACTGCGTGTGGCACCTTGCGCCCTACCACCACAACCACGACCATGACCACGACGATCACGACGACGACAACGACGACCACCAACACCACCACCACCACCACCACCACCACCACCACCCCCACGACGCGAACCACGACGCCGACGACGACGACGACGCGCCTCGACGTCAAGCAGGAACTGCTGCTGTGGCCCCAGGACGCTGCCAGGCCTGGCACAGGCGTCGGGTGCGGGGGGAGGAGGAGGAGGAGGAGGAGGAGGAGGAGGAGGAGGAGGAGGAGGAGGAGGAGGAGGAGGAGGAGGAGGAGGAGGAGGATGAGGAGGACGAGGACGACGACGACGACGACGACGACGACGACGACGACGACGGCGACGACGAGGAGACGAGCAGGTCATGATGCCCCGCGTCAAAGAGGAGCGCGCGCAGCCACGGAGAGCGGTGTCAATGACCGACGACGACGACGACGACGACGACGACGACGACGACGACGACGACAACGATGCAGGCACGTTAGTCGTCGACTATCACACGCTAACGCACGCGAGTGCACTCTTTGGGCGGAAGGAGGGAATTTAAGGCCCCCATGATTTGCCACCGAAGAAAGGGAGGGGGGAAGGGGGAAGGAAGGGCGGAGTAGGAGTGAGGACCAGGAAGGGAGGAGCCCGTCTTCAAGGGAGAGGAGGAGGAGGAGGAGGAGGAGGAGGAAAAGGGGACCACCCTGGACGTGATCAAGAGCAACATCGTGATCCAGACTGACGGTGGCTTACGCGAAGATGATTGTGCCACTGTGTCGTGGATCATTGGTCTGTGGGGCAGCGGACGGAAAGGACGTGTTCGAACCGTTCATCATACACGGAACATTATTGGAACTACCTTGCACGGCGTTTGGCGCGGAGGCAACTGCTTTGGACGAGGCATCTGCTGAGGTGGCCAAATAGCTCTCTTAGACGCGGGACGAAAAGCTGTAGTTAATTGTGGTTTCTTACGCTTCATCAAACTCAAAAGAAGGGGGGAGAGAAGCAGGAATGAGGAGAGTAAGACGAAGCCAGGACGAGGATAAAATCGGGTGAGGATAAATCGAGAACCTCTGAGATCCGGCGGCTCTGGAGGATGTCTCGGCCGCCGCGGCCTTCTCAGAGCGTTCCCGAACGCTCTGAGAGCCCTAGCCCCGTCCGAGAGGGGGAGGAGGAGGATCCGAAGCCCCAATTTCGGAAGCCCTGGGTCCTCCTTGGGCCTCTGGAAGCCTCGGGGACCTCCGGAGCTCTCTGGGGACCTGTGAAGACCTCCGGAGCTCTGGAGGTCTCCTCCTGCTCCTTGTCCTCTCCTCCTCCTCGTCCTTTGGTGAGCGGTCCAACGACGACGAGGGAGAGAAGGGATGAGGACGAGGATGCAAGCGATAAAGAAGAGGAGCAGAAGAGGCCGCCGATGCCGGTGGATCCTGCCGAGCCGCATCGGATCGGCATCGCGGCCCTGCCCACGCATCGGACCGCATCGCCTCGGATCGTGGGCGCCCCGGGCAGGCCAGCCTCGCCCCTCGTGCCCTGTGTGGGGCGACGGCGCCCCCGCCCCGACGAGAAGCGGGCCTCCACCGGCCCCCGTCGGCCCCCGAGCTCGGTGGGCTCGGCCCTCGGGCCGGGGCCCGGGCGGGTCCACCTCCTCCCATCGCCGAGGCCCAGGCCGGTCTCGGCGGTGGCGTGCGGGGGCGCGCCTCCCCCTCGGGGACGGGCCCCCTTGCGGGCCGCGTGCGCGCACGCGAGCCCGAGGTCGTCTGCGGGGGGCGCAGAGGGGCAGACCCGTTCGGAACGGAAAGGAGTGGGCAGAAGCGTGAGGTGGGAACGCGGTGGGAGCAGAGTGGGCTTCCGCCCTGCCCCTGAAGGGGAAGCAAGAGGGGAAACCACTCGATCACTGAAGCAGGAAGGCGCCCAAAGTAGATTGGCATCTGGGCATCCAGAAGCGCCTACTCTCAACGACCGAGGGGCACTTTGAGGGATGAAACGAAGCGCCCCTGCCTTGGGTCACGAGTGCTTGGTCTGTAGATCTCCCGGGAGCTCTCAAAGGCCAGAGTGCCGCCAGGAGCCCAGGACCCCACGCGACAACACGCGCGACACGCGCGATTGTACCCCGTCCGCCCACAAGAGGTTCCGCGCACAGCGCCTCGCCGGCCAGGGCAGGGGCGTTGTTTTGCACGCCCTCGAGCGCCGACACTGCGCGCCCCTCCTGGGGGCGCACGTCCGAGTCGAAGAGCTTAGGGGACCACATGCGAACCCTACCCCTACCCCCCACGACTTCTGAGGGGGAGGGTGGGGTTCACTTCGCTCGGGAGCTCCCGAACGGAATGAACCCCACCCTAACCCTCGGAAATCATGGGGGGTAGGGGTAGGGTTCTCATGTGGCCCCCTAGAGCCGGCGCCAGCGTGTGGCGGTGCATCGCTGCGTCGTGCGCGGCGCGCGGCGTGGCCGGGCGGCGCCCGCCACCGAGCACGCTGCAGCGACGAGGCGGCGGCAGAGCGAGCGCGTCGCCCGGGAAGGGAGGCCGACGCACACGTGCGAGCAGAGATGTGTCTGGCTGACGTCGGCTCCGCTCGAGCACTGCTTTGGTGGGCCTGTTTACCACCACCACCACCACCACCACCACCATCAGTTGGAGGGGGGGGTCGTCCTCCTCCTCCTGCTCCTCCTCCTCCTCCTCCTCCTCCTCCTCCTCCTCCTCCTCCTCCTCGTCCTCCTCCTCGTCCTCCATCTCCTTCCCCCCTCCAACTTCTGGTGGCGGTGGAAAACAGGCCCATCATGCTTGGCGGCGCGCAGAGGGGGCAGGGGGAGGAGGGAAGGCCTCTTCGAAGCACCCTGCTTATGAGAAGGGCCCGGCCTTCCGTCTACAGAGGATCTTGAGGAGCCTTCCCCCCTCCCCTAATTACCCTCCTCTGAGCGTGGCTAAAGTGTCAATGGCCTCGCGGTGATCCCGTGCCTCGGATCTCGCTGGAGGCTTGGAGGTGGGCACCAACACCAACGCAGGGGGGGGGCCTTCACCAGGGAGGATGATCCAGCTTTCGGTGCTGGTGGCAGCCTTTCGGCCATTCAGGAAGCCCAAATATGACCACCATCACCGAGATCGAGACCACCTTCCTTCGGTGGAGGCACGCCGCCGATCTTGGTGCTGGCAGGAGAGCCCGAAATCGAATCGACAAGTCGGATCGGAGATCGAAATGAATCGGATCGGCAGAAACCGGCAGCCGAGTCGGGAGAAGTCGGATCGATGGAGATCGGCAGGTTAGTGCGCCTCCAGTATGCAGTCGGAGCCCAAATCGGGATCCGAAGTCGAGCCGAATCGGGATCGGAAGCCACCGAAAAATCGAACCGCGTCGCATCGGAGGCATCGGAGCGAGCCCGGTGCGCTGGTGCCAGCTTCACTCGCAGCTGCGGCAGGAGCACCGCCGAGGCCGGGGAGCACCGCCGACCGCCGACCGGGGGCGCCCGAGAGCCCCGGGGGCCCCACGAGGCAGGCTCGCGCCGTGGAAATCAATCGGGACGGGCGGCGTCCGGCAGATCTCGGCCTCGGGGGGCCCTCGCAGGTGACCGCCTACAGGGCAGGTTTTAATACGTGGGATTTTTCAAAATATAGGATTTCTAATACATGACTCACGTACGACTAAATTTAGGCATGAGCTCATCGTTGCTTTTAAAACTAAACCCCTGCATTTTTAATACATGATCCGCACGCGGAGCATGTATTAAAAACGGCACTGTACCAGACCGCCCCAACTTGACCCGAAGGCCCAAGTCTCGAGTGGGGGGGGGGGCACGGCTTCCACACGTGTTTTTGTCGATGTTCCCCGACGCCCCCCCCCCAACACTGGAAATCGAAGGCAAGATTGGGCCCTCGGGTTGGGTTGGGGTGGTTTGGTGGGTGGAGAACAGGGCCCAGGAACGGTCGAACAACGGCTCGGGATGAGCAGAGGCCTCCCAAATGGGGTCGGGGTAGATTTGAGTCGGGCATGTCCCTCTACTGCAGGCGGAAGATTACAAGGTAGCCGACAGATAATTAGCCTGAAAAAAACGTCTCCATCATGTTCTGACCGTGCTTGGACATGTTTTGACCATGCTCCATTTTTCCTCCAGAATCCGCCTGTAGGGGACATGCCCGACATGAGAGTAGATGGGGCCTGAGGATCGCGCCGCATCGGCGACGCAGCGGCGATCCCGTGCCTCGCCCTCGCCCAGACGCGCGTGCGGATGGCCTCTGCCGCGCCGCGACGCGAAAACGCCCGGGGCCCCGCCCGCTCCGCACGCCGCCAACCTGCACTCCGCGCCCCCGCCGCGACAGCCCCGCCGCCCTGGGCGGGCGCCGCTGGCCGCCGGCACGGCGCGCAGATGGGGCCGCTGGCACCGCCCCAGGACATGACCCGCGCAGGAGCTCTTTCGGGCAATGGACCCCGAGATCCGACGCTGCAACAAAAAAAGCTCGCCATTGCAAAAAATCACGCCCAGAGCCCTCGACCCACCTTCCTGCTACGTCATCGTTCGAGCCGGATCGATCTGCGAGGGTCACAGGGCCCGAAGAAAGGCGAAAACGCCCGGCTCGAGAAAAAATGAGTCGCCAGGATCTCAGGGGTGGGATATTTACGACGCGAAGATGGCACGGATTTCGAGCCCGACCACCTCGACTCGACTCGGTGTCGATTCCGTCCGACCCGGCCCGCCCGGCTCCACAGCCCCCCCCCAAGATGATAGGATGGGGGGGGACAACGCCGACGCCGACGCCGACGCCGACGCCAACGACGACGCAGACGCCGACGCCAACGACGATGCAGACGCCGACGCCGACACCGACGCCGCCGCCGCCGCCGCCCACGACGACGACGACGACGACGACGACGACGACGACGACGACGCTGGCACCGACGCCGACGACGCCGACGCCGACGCCGACGCCGACGCGGACGCGCCGACGAACCAACCCACACCCACAGAGGAAGGGCGGGGGGTGCACAGGCACCCTCCACCACGCCACGCCCACAGGGCGACGACCACAGGGGGGGGGGACGATCCCATTCGCGATGCCTTCGCGAGGCTCACGAGGGTACCCGTCCAGCGGGGGGGGGAGGGCTCGATCCCATATGCGTTGGGGGGGGAGGGGGGGAGGGGCAACCCTGGATCAATACATCTCCGACTCATCGGCGACGGGCGCCCGAGAGCGACATTGCACACTCCTGGACGCGGGGGGCGACTGGGCCACAGTCGCGGCCAAGACGAAGCCAGCACCCAGGACCAGGACAAAATCGACCAGGACAAGTCGGAGATCTCTGAGGTCCAGCGGCTCTGGAGGATCTATCGGGCGCCGCGGTCTTTCCAAAGCGCTCCAGGACGCTCTGAGAGCGTTCCAGAAAGCTCTGTAACGATTCATCCCGGTCCTAGCCCCGCTCGATAGGCTACTCGGCCCCTGTCGGCGATGAATGGGCGATTGGGGGTCGATGCATCCCCCCCTGAGCTTACTTCCGCCGCCACGTTGCCCCTGACCGGAGCCCAAATCAATGCGGCCAGCTTTTTCGTGATCTCGTCCCCAAGTGCCTGTGTCTGTGACCCCAGGGGCCCTGGCGAGATGGGCGCGAGAGCTCTCTGGGTGCACGCGGATAAAAAAGTCACGACGACGACGACGACAACTCGAGCTGAAAAACTCACAGCTTTTGAGGTTGGGGGCGTCTATGTTCTATGTCCCCCCGTAACGCTGCCCCTGAGCCTATCCCCCCGAAGCGTTGTCCCTTAGCTTTCGGGTCATAATTCTGCTCTTCGGCAGCCGTTCGGGACGATCCTGGCAACCCAGGAACGCCCTCGGCGAGACGCAACTGCTGGAACGCACCCCGAGGCTGGGGAAAACCGCGAACCGACGAAAACGTCCGAAAACCTCGAACCTCTAACCTCGAACATTGATCCGAACTTCGAACCCCGTCCGAAAACGTCCGAAAACGTCTGGAAGCCTCGAACCTCGTCCGGAAAGGTCCGAAAACATTGAACCTCGTTCCCCACCCCAATCGTTGCTCCTTGGGGGCCTCGTCCATCTCGGCCCCCATGAGCATGTCCACCCCTAACGCTGTCGCTGGGGGTCGGCACGGGAGAATAGCCTCATGGAAGCGCGAGCGCGGTGCAGAAGAGAAGAAGGAGGAGGAGGAGAAGGAGGAGGAGGAGGAGTAGGAGGAGGAGGACGAAGAGGAGGAGGAGAAGGAGGAGGAGGAGGAGGAGGAGAAGGGGGCCCCGAAGCTCTGAGCCCGACCCCCCGCAAAACGCTGCCCCCGAACCCGCCCCGCCACGCCCCGGCCGCGCCGCCTGCAGATGCGCGCCCAGCCGATGAAGGCCCTGGCGGGGAAC